TGTGGATTCCCAGTTTGGGATCAATTTCCTTGTTAACATAAATAAACAGCCAGCCGAACTCCTTTTCAAGAGCCAGGAAGTGAGCATGCTTACTCCTTTAATGACTTCTTCAATGACAATGAATCGGAGTGAAACTAGAAAAGAAAATACAAGCTGCATTTAGTAGTTGACTATGAAACAATAGTAAAGTGTAAATTTACATTAAACTCCTATAAACTTAAAATAAATGTACATAAAATGTATCAATATAGATTATCAAACATGTAAACAACAAGTTAGACTTAAAGCCATTCTGAAGGATTCACACCAAGGATGACTTTAGATTCAACATGGAAACCCATACAGACACCACCATCCTTCTCTGTTTACCCACTTTCTACTTCCTGTTTCCTGCTTTCTGTGTCTTCACAGATTTCAAAATAAAGGAACAATAAACTTTTATTCAAACGACAATGAAATTTTGTCCTTTAACATATAAAACACAGCAAACACATACGGTACAAATGCTTCTGTGCCAGCTCCTCCGCATAGGGGTCAAGTTGACCCTCAGATTTTTTTTTAAGTAAAATGCTTAATTGACTAGGCCTGACTAAGGATTTACATAGTCGAGCCTGATTCATCAGATTTTGCCTATAGTCGACTGACAGTCGAAAGTTTTGTTAAAACATGTTTAGCTTGGGAGCAGCACTCTCTGGCGTCACCTCCGCGCCTCCAATAGGAGGGAAGATCAGATCACAACAAGCAGTGTCACACTTTCCTGAGCTCTAGTTTACAGACCTGCCGGCACGTTGGAGAGAAATATCTAGTTTGAAAAGATATTTTATAACAGTTTGGGCGTACCAGGTGTGTTAAAAACAGCAGCAGAAATGTGTGTTGTGCTTGTGAAGCGGTCGCTCCTGGACGATGCCCTGACGATTTCATGAACAGACACCCTCTCCTTCGGTGCTGCTTGTCTCCTCCTCTTCAGCAGTTAGTGGACAGAAAGCCGTTGCTTTTTGGTCGTGTGTCAGTACCCTTCTGCTCTACGCCCTACTCCGCAGCATGCATCTAAAAGGCCCTGAAGTCTGTATTAATTTGACCTTATAACGATATTACACATGTCGAATACATCAGACACACTTATATTGTGTGTGGGTCAGACCAGTGACAAAATGTCTTTGAACTTACCATTTGTAGATTTGTAGACTCTGCTGATCATAATATTCAACCAAAAATGATTCAGTAAAAGATTGAATGCAAACACATTACATCCATTACGATCCACTAAACGGTTCAGAAAACTCTGCTATCCCACTGACCTTTTTCTGACACTTGATAAAAGCCTATAACAGCCAACTGTGCTGATGACTGACATCTGTTGTAGCCAATGAAATTCTCTTAACATGGATACGCTGCTTCTATCAATAATAGAAGGGTAATTTCTTCATGCACACACTAAGGAGATACCAAGATAGGCTATGAGTCATGAATTATTTGGAGAAAACAGATCAACCTATGTAAAATTACTATTTAACACCCTCATATAGCTGGAATGGAATTATCTAAGTGCTCAACTATGAGACTGGCAGTCGACTGAGGCTCTGACGAACAAATCATCGAGTACTCGGCTATATGGGGTTAGCCTTAGTATTGACTAGAGCCTCTTGAAGAAAAGTATCCCTTTTTAGTATCTGTTTCAGCTTTTCAGCGAATTTTCTCATTTGACGCAAGGGAAATCATTGCTGCAATTGTTTTTTTTAATTTTGTGCTGTATAAATTGTAGTGTTTCTGGATTTGCAGCATATTTCTCCAAATCAAAATATTTTTGGCCATTGCAGTATGTGAAGCCTTGTCAGAAAAATAACTAACCGTACTGGTGACCCTATACTGGGTGGGGCTTGGGGTTTACTGCCTGCTGCAACTGAATCTCTGAATGTGACGCAGTAAAGCAAAAGAACACTCTTAAGTTATAGAGTCTTTAAAACAAGTATAACATGTGATCTAATAGTCTTCACATTTTCAGTCTTAATTGAATTTTGGTGCAAACACAATTTCATTACACAAGCAAGTTTCCACGTTCACCGGATAGTAATATCTTATGAGCATGGAAACTTGGGAATGTCTGATATTTTGCATCCAAGGGCCAGTTGCAAGTTGCTGCAAGCTTTGCCAAGCTGTCAATCCAGACTGGAATCATAAAAATTCCAAACGGAGGAGCAGAGTATTAATGTTTGAATACAGTACATCACCAGATAATTCATAATATTAAGGACATATTAGGGCAATTATTTTACAAATTCAGGTTTCTAAGAAAATCTAATGAAATAAACTCAAGTTAAAAATCAGAACTTTAACACGTGCTTTTATCCATTCTCTTAACAATTTCAAGATCTTGAAAATGGATTGATTTTGTATAGACCTCTGAATTACAACCTACTGAAGGCATTAAATGTAAGAGTCATTAACTGTTGTTGTTAACAGCTTGACGTACTCGGAGGAGTACAAAACCTCTTTCATTTGTTTTGTAACTGCTGTGCCGCTGCACTGTTTCTGCTTGTCAACAGCAGTGCCAAGTCCCCCCTTGGGAATTGCCCAAGTCAGCCTTGTTACCTTTGCTAAATTTGGTGCGAGATGTAACAAGAGAAAAATGCTCCATCAATCATGTTGCAGATGCAGAGAGGGAGAAGTGGGGGTTCAGAGTCAGAGAAATAAACCAGTGAAAGCTCTGCCAACAACCATTTCCTGCGTGAGATGATGGGAAAACTTTGCTGAACTCTCTTGGGACTTCATTTGTGAACACGCCTGCGTCCTCCAGAGCCCAAAGTTTTAGAGCGGAACCTAGGCACTTGGTCGGGGTGTTTTGAGCATTTCTAAAGTGAAATCCTTCTTTCCCTCTGTTGCCTGCTGCATCAGATAAAGTCTGCCTGCCAAGGCTTAAGTGTGTCAATGAACAGGGATGGGGTTGGTGGTGGGGGATCAATGATAAGTGCAGCTTGCCTCTTTAACTACTCCACACAAGCCAAATAGAGATTAACCCATTTCAACCCTTATAACACATGTCAGTCAAAAGTCTCTTGAATACTCCTCTAAGAAGCCCCCTACCCCAACTTTGCCTCCTCGTTTTCATGGAAAGAGGCTATCACACTCACATGACAGATGCTGCAATGGACAGAAACAATGATGAGTGGTTATCGATACTAACTATACACATTTTCACCCCATCAGAGCCTGAACTCAGCCATATTTCTTTGTATCTTGTGATTTTGCTCTAATTTATTTACCATGTCATAGAAGCCATCACTCCTACACCTTATGTCCCTTAGAAATAAAATGGGAAGTACTGTACATGCCACGACAACAGACTTTGCTAAATTGTTGCTCTAAAAAGTGTATGCCATCTCACCTGGTGAGATTTGTCTTGCTACTGATGTAATTAATCTCTAGTCTACAAAGCAGACAGACAGACAGACAGACAGACAGAGATGGGAAAATGTACCTTCTTTCATAGTCCACATGACTTGACATAACTGTGAATCAACTCAGACATTTTGTTTTTCCTGCTTGTAAAGTCACCTCACTAACATGATTTTCATCAAAGATTAAAAAATCAACATCAAAGTCTCCCAAAATTAAGGATGCTGAGCACAGAATGCAGAACAAGCAGCTAAAGTGCATGGACCAGCCAATTGACCGGTTCATATTTTATTCCTACCAATCTAGGGCTTTGAAGACAGATGCACTTGCATCTGTAATGTAAAGAAGAACATTCATTTATTCAAAGTGGAACCACAACTGAAGTTTCAGCTGTCAGTTAAAAGGAAGTTTTTTCTTGTAACTGTTACTTTGCTAACTGTTGCTAAGTGGATTAATGTTGGGACTTTGTAGATAATGTTAAAATGCATACAGCCTAGCTCTTATTAAAGTGTGTTGAGATAAAATAATATTTAAATTTCCAGCAATACAACAAAGATTGATGGATTAACTAACTCTGTGACGTGTTAACTGCACAATGTCTTTCAGTCAGTCAGTTTACATGCACAGTTAACTTGAGCTATACGGTTACAGCTTGATTTGACCATTTGATTTGAAAACTCATCTCGCTGCGGCACCGGGAAAGAATGGATTTGACAAATATTTCAAACTCCAGTACAGAAGGTGGCAATGTGCCCCCTTTCTTCTTGCCTAAGTTAATAAATCCACCACATCATTACACATTTTCTGCTCTTGAAGTGTAAAAGGAAAACACAAAAATGTTCAAATGCTTTAAAAACATCCATTTGCGCACAGCTCCAGCGTTAAGAAGTCTAAAGCTAAAGTTGCGACTGCTGAGTAATGATGGGATTATCACTGCCTGGAGAGGTCTAGTGACCATGCTTTTGTAATTAAATTATAACTAAAAAACTAAAATATTAAATTCATGTTAAAATAGTTGGCATTTATCTAGGTGGTGATGGCATTCATCCTTCAGGTCTGAGGTCTTTATGTTAGGCCAACAATACCCTTTTTGTTTGCATTTAGGTCACAGATTTGTCCTTTAAAACTTCACCACAGGAGATTACTGACTTGTAAGATGGATATTTACTGCAGTGCAGCAGTTTAGATGAGAAGCATACAGTGGGAAGCTGTGTCCCACAGGGACAGCTCCTCTGATAGGTGGTGACATGATATCTCTTTCAAAGCTGCCTCTCTCCTATTGTCATTTGTTTTCATTTGAAGGAAGATTAAAGAATATTTTATGCCTTTTGAAATTTCAGTGGGATTGTAGCTTTATTGAGCAGCATTGTGAAGGGATTGCGCTGTGTGTTGGGAATTCATACAGCTTATCAAAGTCCATAAGGGACTGAGCCAGCAGACTGCATCCAGAGATATGCGGGTAATATTCAGTATCTCAGATTCAGCTTGTTTATTTGCTTTGTATCTCTTCCTCATTTCAGTGCACAACTAGTGGAATCTTTTCACAGCCAGATTGTGGATTGTTATGTTTGTGACAGCGTATATGATAGGATCCTATTCTCTTCCAGGTTTACACCAGATATGGAAAATGTTACACTTTCAATGGTAACAAGACGACATCCAGGAAAACCAAGCAGGGTGGAATGGGAAACGGCCTGGAGATCATGTTGGATATACAGCAGGATGAGTATTTGCCCATCTGGAGAGAGACAAGTAAGCCTTCAAACTATTTGTCCAATGCAATCCCAATATATGCTTCAGCATGAGATACCTCTACTGGGTCCTAAATAAAAATAATAATTATAACTGTGCCTTAATCTCTGACTCTCATAAAGCACGTTTGATTGCCTTTTTTCAACATGTAAGATTTGAATTGTGACTGGAAATTCTTGAGAGAAAAAAACAATGAGATTTGTGCATTGTAACTGAATTAAATCCACACTGTCTTATAATTTAAAACACAACTGAAATATAGTTTGTAGTTAGAGCAGTACAAACTATGAAATGAAATTCCATTGTCCTCGTTCTTTTGCACGTGCTGTTTCATCTAGATGAGACTTCCCTGGAGGCTGGTATCCGAGTTCAGATACACAGTCAGGACGAGCCTCCCTACATCCACCAGCTGGGCTTTGGTGTCTCTCCGGGCTTCCAGACCTTTGTTTCATGTCAGGAGCAGAGGGTAGGCCTTCTTCATCACAGTACACCTTCCCTGCAACCCCCACCACCACCACCAGATAACTGTTGTCTCTGCTACCATTTGCCTCTGGTGGTTTACACAGGGCTCTAATAAATCTCTGTGTGCTTAGCTGACCTACCTGCCCCAGCCCTGGGGGAACTGCCGCTCCACCGGCAAAGAAAAGTTCCCAGGATACGACACATACAGCATCAGTGCCTGTCGTTTGCTCTGTGAGACCAATGAGGTGATACAAGTGTGCAATTGCAGGATGGTGCACATGCCTGGTAAGAACAACTCGTATTCACACTTGCACAGAGCCCAATTGTTGACAAAAAAATATTTGCTTATGAATTTAAAATGCACAGCACACTTATAATTATCACATGCTTTTTCTTTGGTTTATTCATGTTTTTTTATGTTGTTCTACTGACAGATAGCCTATTATGTTCATGGAATAAAAATGACCCACACTACAAAACAACTCCTCATTTTTTCCCCACTTGAATAATTCTAGCAACTATAATTTCAGCTGCCCCACGCCTGACCTTGATGCTTAAAATCTGGAGTGGAATGCTCTTCAGTAGTGCAGGCAGCTCATGGGCCAGGCACTTTTGGGACTACATAAAAGTCTCAATGAGTATTAGATCCTCTTGTTTGTACATATCATTATTGTTCCTGCGTTTTCTTGTGTTATGTCATCACTGGTAGGGGGTTTGCTGGCAGCTTTTAAGTTTCTGCCCTTCTATAATATAAAACTGATGAAGGGGGATTTGATAGACTGTTTGAAAATGTTAAAAATGTAGAATAAAAAATGAAACAACCAATAAACACACAAGAGCTAATGGCTCTGAAATAAATGAAGAAAATGGCCTATGCAACAGAGTTCATTTATTTTGTGTAATGTTACACAACGTTGTTTATTATTGTCATAAAGTGAGGAAAAAAATTGCTGAATGAAGATGACTTTTTGTAAATATGAGCAGAATTATCATGAAGCAGAAAATACAATTGTTTTCTGTCTTTGTTCAGCTATTGAATTTATTAGTAGTGGTGGGTCTGACTGACAGTACGAAAGGAGTATGTCATCATGGCCATCTGAAAAGAGCCTGAAAAGTGCAGATGTTAGAGGTTGTTACATTTGAAATCCAGACAGGAAACCTATTTTGCAAGGTACACAGTACAGATGACACAGCAGACTTTATTTAGCACAGCTGCAAATGAAAATATCTCTCAGTGAACTACAGAATTGAAGACATCTAATCTAAAATAGAAATAACTTATTCATATATATTTTACCCCATACATCTGTAATTGATCTGATGCAGTCACACGGCTATAAAATACCACTGTGGTCCCCAGGTAAGGCATTTAAATATCAGTTACACATCTTAAACATTCTTCACAGGCTATAATTAGAAAAGCAACAAGGAGGTCTGGTCCTTAGAGAGAAATGTCAGACTAATCGTTTGATCAGGACAGCCTGTGAAACCAACAAGTTACTAATCAGTTGTGTGCTCTGCAGGTTATAGTGCCTGCCTCACTGAAAGATTGTGATCGTATACATTTTAGGCTCACGATTTTGACAAACTAACCAACTGATCCCTTTAATTCTAGTTTCAAACACATGCACACCAATCTTATAGCAAGGGTATAAATACAAAAACACAATTAAAAGCTCACAAATCAGCTGTCTAGAGGAAACTGAATTTTTATTGAGATCCTTTTTGATTGAACAAGAATAAAGGGCATTAAAGGACTTAAGGGTAAAATCATTTTCTAAATTTAAAATCACAAGAGCGCTTTAAGAAAGAAAGGTGGTTAGAAAGCAGCAGAAGCACTATCATATCTAGAATCAGATATAATACATTCTGCAAAGTTGTAACTTTGCAGAAATAGCTGAAAGAGCTTTTGGTTCACAAGCTCAACAAGGGAGCACGAGGTTACAGTATCTACAACAACACTGAGGCGTGCCAATGAAATGTTAAAGCTCATGGTCTCAAGCAATTTATGTTTGTTTTCTTCTGCAGTGTCTATAGCCAAAGCGACACTGTTACAGTGTGCTGCTCAGCATTTTATTTACTGTAATAAAAGCTTTTGGAAGAGGAGAATTGATGATTGTAATCCATTTCATTCTAACACTCACTTTAATTATGAAAATGAAATGTCAACAATCCTATTTAAATTTAATAAAATCCACCATGCCTGAACACATTCTAGGGGCGGCTGTGGCTCGGGGTTTGAGTCGGTCTCCTCTCAGCCGCAGGGTTGGGTGTTCGATCCCCAGCTCCCGCAGCCACTATCCGATATGTCCTTAGGGAAGACACTTAACCTTAAGTTGCGGCGGTGTGTGAATGTGAAAGAATAAATGAGTTAATACTGATGGAGACTTTACATAGCAACCTCTGCCATTAGTTTGTGAATGGCTGTGGATGGGTAGGTGTGACCTGCGATGTAAAAGTTATTTTCGAGTCAGAAGACTAGAAAGCACTACACAAGCTGAAATCCATTTAATTATTTACATTTGTTCACAAACTATTGCCTTCAGCCTTTTGTGTGTGGTTGTGTCTCCTTTTACGTCACTGAATTATAGTTTTGTTCATGTTGCTCTTCTATTTCAAAGCCACTAAGTACGTGTTGGTGACATGTGTAAGCATCAAAAGTATATTACTTTTTAAACGAAAACGATTTCAGATGGCTATGGTTCTAAATATTTTGGTTCATGAGTCTTGAGCTGAAGTATATAAGCAGGCTGACTACTTAAAGATGTTAAGTTGTTTGTATTTGTGGCTAGCAGACAAAGACCCCACAGAGCTTTCGCTACCACAACACATAATCAAACACTGTCTCTTTTCTTCCGTCAGTAAGGTTTATGGTTAGTCATGTTATCTAAAAATTCAGCTTTTTAGAACTCACAGAGAAAAGTAATGACACAAGTGTTTGTCAAACTCTATCACGAGCAGCTGACCCACTCCTTGGATCATTATGTCATTTTTCACTCTGCATTAATTAACACTTCTTTGTGAAAACATTACAACTCATGACCATTTCACAGACAATCACACCTCTGCCAATTTATTGTTGTGCTGATGAATACCTGTCATTAATGGCCTAGGAAATATGCCTGTTGGTGAGGATGTTACTCATTGATTGTTTTTTAAAGACTTTCTAAATATGCCTCACAGGTGAACACAGCATGGCCTATTTATCAGACGTCCAGGATGGCCCAGGCTCCATAGACGGACGTCATCCTTTGTGTGCCCACCTTCATTTTGGAGATAAATAATAAGCTGTGAAGTGTTGTTCACAGCTATGGCTCCTCATTGCAGCAGACACGGGTCACTGATCATTTTGTTTCTGATTGATCAGACTCATTTTCTGTTCTCCTCTCCAGGAACAGCAGATATCTGCCCTCCCAGTAAAATCACCTGCGTTGACAAAGCACTCGGTAAGAAACAATCCACCTTCATTTCTTTTCTCATTACATAGATTTCCCCCAAAGGGAAATGGAACACGATCGGTAAATATGATAAGGATTTTTTTCTGTAATACAAATACCTTGAGGTAGACTTTATATTTTGAAATGACTTTCCCTCATTGTGATTCAGTCACTTTAGAGCATGATGGCTGTGCTGCCTCCATTGTTGAAACGTTAATATTAACCTGACACTCCATTCCTGCATCTGCATCCCCTCCCCCCTCTACCCTTAGCTGACTCCAAACTCACTCTCCTACAGCAGACATGAACAAAGGTACCTGAGATTCAAAGGCATTTTGATTGCAGTAAAAATGACTTTTTTTATGGTCAATGCAGACGCATAATTATCATCTCTCAGCCAAATAGGCCAGAAATTTAATTATGTCTCTCTCAGATGAATTTAAACCCTATTTGAAATAGGGTTGAATGAAATCTTAGATATATCTTTTGAGAATGGCCAGTATTTTTGTCGGTCATATCCCTGTGAACAATAGTGTGAATAAATTCAGCCTGAATGAGAGGTGGAAATTTAGATTCTATTTATATTGTAAAGGTGTTTTGTTCCAAAATCAGAATACCTCCTGCCAGATCAAAGATGCATTGCACCGTCATCTTGCATACAAATAGTCTAATTGTTAAGTTTATAAAACAGAAAATTATAATCTTTATAATAATAAAGAAAATAATAATTACTTATTTTAGTGCTCCCCTTCCCTGTCTTCGTGCAATGCATTTGCAAGTTTAAAAAAAGAAAAAGAAAAGTCACCGGGAAAAGGCTTTCACAGTTGCATACCTAATAATGTTTTATAGTTGGGATTGTGAATATGAATATATAAATGTGTAAGCAGTTCATATTTGCATATTAGCTTTGAGTAAGTCTAGGTATGTTTTTTTTCAATTAGGAGCATTTTAAGTGTGAAACTGAATTTCTGTGAATACAGTTGCTACAGTTGGTTTCTATTAATGATTATGTTTTGATATTACACCCACATTTAGTAGAGATGATGTAGTCAGTTTCTAATATGACCAATGCTAGAAAACGGACACAGCATGTTTTTTATCCACTAAATGATGTTGTAAACCATAAATAAATTATTTAAAGTGTGACATGAACTAGTTCCATCATAATCACTCGTACAAATGGAAGATTTACTAAGTGCTAACGTTCTAAACATAAACGAGGTTACAACTGAAAATGCCCCATTACAAACTCTGCTGGAAACGTGTGTCCTGTAAGAACGGATGAACAGTTTACTTGTAGTCTTGTAGAATAGATGCTGAGCTGTTTCCAGGATCTGTATCTGGAATGAGCCAACCAAGCAATAGGGCTGGGTATTTCCAACAACCTCATGATACAATACGTCTCGTGATTCACTGTACGTTGATTTTGAATGATGGCCGTGTCCTGCAAAGAATTCACTACAACAGCTATTCTATATTGCAGATACATATATTTAATAAACCTACAAATTCAACAAACATATTCAGGTCCTCAGACATCCCAGAAATAAATTGAAATATTCTCTTTATAATCCCAGAGCTTTTAATATGTTCAAATAGTATATTCTTTATTGTTAAACTTAAAAAAGCTCCCTCTGTTGTCTCTCTTGCTTTTTGTACAGTGTGAAATATTTTGGTTTTGCTTGACTATATGAGTTACTTACATTTTCAAGAAAGTTGCTTTACATCTGCAAACTACTTAAGCACCACAGTTTATGTAATAAAACGAGGAGTAGGGATTAAATGACATGACTCACACTCATTAAGCAGCTGCCCGGAGCCTTTTAACTTGAAAGCTTCATTCAGTGCTGGTTGGGACGGCACACGCTGACCCCTGGTATAGCAAGCTTCGCTGTTGCTGTTAGCGACTTTAATGTGTAGACAGAGCTTGGTCGTGTTGCTGCAGTGTTTTATCTTGTTTTTGCAAAGCTTGCAAATTGCATGACTCATGTCCAACTCCCTTCTTCCTGGTGGTAAAATCTTTGCTTTCAGTTTTGTCTTGCTTTGATAGCGTTTCTCATCCATGCTCGTTTGTTTTGATGTGGAATGTGTCCTGCATCATGCAGTTCACTTCTACTGTCACTATTGCTATTATTGTGAACTGCACCATATAGGCCAAGTTTACATAACTGCCATCACAGCTTTGCAGATGTATCGATACTGAAACATCTGCATCGATGCACGTATTGGTAGGAGTACATGACGATTCTCTTCGTTATATTATGTTACAAAAGAGCAGGTACTCTTTGTATTATTATTTCAGGCCGCAGCAGGTGTCTCCCAGCATCACACCACACTCAAAGACAGTGACTAACTCTGAGCAAATTGGAGCATTAAGCAGCTTAACAGGCAGACAGTTCTCTAAAACTGAACTAAGAGAGGAGTAAATATTGAACCTTCATCCACCTTGTGGCCAGAAACACATCTTCAAATCATTACAAACTGCATGCTGTATTGTATCTGCTGAATCTTTCAATGCATTATGAGTAGTTTAAAAGTGAGTCAAAACAAGTTCATTCAGTTGTACGTGTACAGCTTATTCTGCTGCCCATTAGTTGAAAAAACACATACATTCATATTCTTCTCACATTCCTACAGGTTCTTTGTTAGAGATGTCGGTTGATTCACTGTCGTATCTCGTGTATTTCTATAACAAGCACTGAAATGGACTCAGTCTATCTGTTAAACCTCTGTTTCGGTTGTGTTGCAGCACAGTTACAGAAGAACAGCGGGGATGCCTGCCCATGTGAGACACCCTGTAATCTCACCCGCTACGGTAAAGAGCTCTCCATGGTCAAAATCCCGAGCAAGGGCTCTGCTCGCTATCTCTCCAGGAAATACGACAAGTCAGAGGACTACATCAGGTACGACAGGGACCTTAATCAGGAGCACGTATGAGCAACGAGATGGCTTGAAAATTAAAAGGGCCATAAACTTTGACCTCCAGTCTGCAGTAATAACTGACGCCAATAAATATAAACAAAAGTCGATTATATTTTCATGAGGACAACAGTTTGTCTCTAGGTTATAAATCAATCTTTTTGTTATTAGAAAAATGGCAAGTTTATTGTCTTATATTGTTGAGGTCCAATCTAAATACTAATAATGTGTGTTTTATTTATTTAACAAGATTTTCAAAAAATAATGTAATACTATTATTGTATAAGGTTTGATGACCCATAAAGGACTACATTTTGAAATGTGCAAATACAAGATTTCTTCATACTGAGTTCAATGTGAAATATGTTGTTATTATAATATTCCTTTTGTGTGTGTGTGGCTACCTGTTTTATATCCAGCACCATATTAGTGGAAAATATGATCTTACCTTAAAATCATTCAAAATAAGCCGATTGTAATAAAATATTCAAATTTACTGTAGTGCTTTTTAACTTTTGTAGCGCCACCAAAATGTGTAGCTTTTTATCTCGTATCTCATACCCACCCTCAGGAGAGAAAAATACATATTTAGCAAATATAATAGCATAGTCCTAGTACTACAGAGCAAACACATTCTTAAAGTAATCATAATTGTTGAAAAGTGCCAACAATTTGAACATCTTGATAATGTGCCTTTATAATGGTAACAGCAATATTGCTTGGGTAAGTATTTGTGAAAACATACAAATCAATAGATGGATTACATACTGAATACTCTAATTTCATTGTAAAGTTAATGGGAGTATCACTAAGATTTGTAACCTATTTTTTGATTTTCAAAAACTTTTCAAGTTAACAACTGCTTAAATTCACGTTGTTCATCATATCCTAATGTCTTATGATAACAGAGGCACATTACTCACTATAGATGAAACCAGACTGAAAACGCTTCACTTTGAAGAGCTTCAATGACTCATCAGAAACAATATGTTTTGAATTTTTAAAGGATTTTTAGATTTTTTTTAATGACTTAATTCTCTTTAATTGTAACAATATCGCCGCCTCTTTCACTACCTCATAGTGAGTGCCTGATGAGTGAGTGATGTTGAAAATGTAAACACCACCATTCCAGAAAGCTCGTGATGCCTCCCGACACTTAATATTACCAGACTTTCTAAATCCAGAGAGATCAGAGACGTGTCACTGACTGAGCAAGCTGTCAGTGCTCGTTGTGCTCCTTTCAGTTAAACCCTGAAACACCTCATTATCTCACAATCGCTGCTTAGATTTGTGTAAGCCCTTTAGGCCTGACATTCCTGTCGTGACAATTTAAAGTGAGCACAAATTGACTAGGATGAATATTTTCAAAATATGTTAGATTTTTAATGACTTATCAAAAATAGCACAAGTGTTTACACTGTTTCACATACACACTCGCACTCTGCTTGTTTTTCCAGAGACAACTTCTTAGTCTTGGATATCTTCTTTGAAGCTCTAAACTATGAAACTATTGAGCAAAAGAAAGCCTACGATGTTGCAGGTTTATTAGGTAAGATTTCTGTCACTTCTCTCTACCTGAATATCCAAATAGACTGGCTTTTGAAGCATGAAACATCTTGCATCTCCTATCATTAACAGGATGGGTCTAGGTGTTATGTGCGTAGTGCCTCTCTTTAAGTGCTCCTTCTTTCCAGGTGACATTGGTGGACAGATGGGCTTATTCATCGGAGCAAGTATCCTGACAATTTTAGAAATACTGGATTATATCTATGAGGTAGAGTCAAAAATTCATCAAACAATCTCAAAATGGGTTCAGAGCTAGCTTAAGCAATTAGCTATACAGATATTATAGTGCATGCTTTCAGTAAGAATTGTGCTACAACAACAAAAAATTGTAAATGCGCATTAGTGTCTCCGTTATGTATTTCAGTATTCCCTATCATTGACAATTTTCCTGATAAGGACAGTGTAAATGTTATCACTTATGATGCATGTCAGGATTTTTTTATTTATTTCCAGGCTGGGGAAATTATGCAGTAAAACATGCAAGTAACGCTGATCATTAAAAGAGCGCCTATGTCAGCTTTTTCCCCTTTAAGAATTCTAGCCAGAAGCCTGCTGGCTGCCAAACATGTATGAACAGTATAATCAGAGGGAGGGAAATGTAATGCAGAAATCTCTTTGAGTTAACTCTTCACTCTGCTGTGTCTTGTCCCCCCCCCCCCCCCCCCCCCGCTGTGGGTGAATCCAGGTGATCAAGCAGCGGCTTCAACGCATGCTGAAGCCACAAAAGGAGGAGAAGAACAAGCAGCAGACCAGCACTGTTGCAACAGTGGGTTTAGATGAAATGAAAGTAAAGGTACAGCACCCTAACCCCTAACCCTAACCCCTAACCCCTAACCCTAACCCCTAACCCCTAACCCATCATGTATAGCTACAAATTCAAGTGTAAAATTTCCCGATGGAGCACTAACTGTAACACTAAAAGAGAATAATCTAGGGAGTGGCAAATCAACATTCCTAAAATGATAAAGATATATGATTCCGAATTAGCCACAAAAGGAAGTACACCCACCCCTAAGTGATTAGAATTGCTATTGCCCAACTATGTGTTGAAGATGTTCACACTGTTCTGAACAATAGACTTGACGTGTCCTTTTTGTAAAACTGGCCTCAGTTCCATTCAACTAAAACTTGTCACAATTTACTTTCCACATGATCTTTGAGGCATGGTGTTGAAGTTGACTTGTCCATTGTGCCTTTCTACAGGAACCCAACGACATGACAAGGAGTCACCCACAGGGGGCCTATGCCAACACGATTCTCCCGAACCACCACCACCCACCACCTCACCCTCACTCTCACCAACGTCACGCCGGGCACCATGGGGTGTTTGAGGACTTCGCTTGTTAGAGTCAGCCATTTCGTCTGGTCCTGGTGACAACAAAAGATAAGGCAATGGCAGACCTTTCGCATTTTTGTTTGTCATTTGCTGTCACCAGTGAAAAGCTACAGCCAAAGTTGAACACCAAACTTGTGCTGCCAACAAAGCACTTGTCATACAGTATGTAGGCACAAATTGGACACCACTTTTACCTTTTTTCCCTCTCTGGATGGGACTCCTATCAACTGTGTCCAGCTGCAGGTGAGAGGTCATGTGACTCCAGGAAAAGTTTGTTGGTACATGATCACAAAAAAAAGAACAAGATGAGTAATGCATGTCACTTTGATCCAGTTTATATTCCAAAAAGGGGAAAATATGATTTACTTATTTGGTTAGTAGCCTTAATTCTTTTTTTTTTCCTGTATACCCTAATTTATCTCTCCTCATACTATTCTTTCTACTCAACTGAGAACAAAGTGTACCATCAAGCCATTGCACAATATAAAGTATGTCTAATTTTATGAGGTACTACTATATAAATATATATGTTCTAAATATTGTATTCAAGATGAGAAGTCTTCAGTGAGAAAATATTAGTCATGTTACAACCATGCAGAATATGGGGGAATTCTTTAGGCTGAACTGTTTGATCTTAGAAGACTTAGCAGCATCTTTCCACATGATACACTTTGTCTGGTTTGTGGTTAAGGTGTTAGAGAGTAGCATTTTACTTGTACATAAAGTCCAACTTTAAAATGATAAGCTCAAAAGTTATGTTTCAATGGTTGTTGTTTATACTTAGTTAACATATAAGTAATGGATTATTCATTTTTATTATGTATATGTTTTAGAAAATACTTTTTAGGAAAATTACTATTGGAATTGTAGCAATTATTGTACACTTACTATCTGCAGATATGTTAGACTGCAGAGCATCAATACATTTGTACAGGTGACAAAGATGGACTGAATGATCTGCCTTTTGAAGGAAAACCATGCATAAGGAAGGAATATGTTTTAGATATGAATGGTTGTATTTTTTTCATGTAGTTTACTTTCTATACCATCCACTCTTTTATTGGCTTCATGGCTTTAAGCTGACATAAGCAATAAGAAACAAAATTTTAGTTTTTGCAAAGTCATCTTCTTCAGCTTGTGGACGAGTACTGTGAAAGTGTAGCAGCTATGTACAGCAGACACCTCTGTGTGTGTGTGTGTGTGTGTGTGTGTGTGTGTGTGTGTTTATCTGTTGTGAGTTTGTTTGTTTGTGTGTGTGTGTATGTGTGTGTGTGTGTGTGTGTGTGTGTGTGTGTGTGTGTGTGTGTGTGTGTGTGTGTGTGTGTGTGTGCGTGCGTGCGTGTGTGTGCGTGTGTGTTTATCTGTTGTGAGTTTGTTTGTTTGTGTGTGTGTGTATGTGTGTGTGTGCGTGCGTGCATGTGTGTGTGTGAGTTTGTTTGTTTGTGTGTGTGTTTATCTGTTGTAAGTTTGTTTGTTTGTGTGTGTGTGTGTGTGTGTGTGTGGGTGTGTGTGTGTGTGTGTGTGTGTGGGTGTGTGCATGTTTGTCTGTTGTGTGTTTGTTTGCTTGTGCACTCTAACATCTTGCACACAGGAATGTGCACATTAGATTGATGTGACTCAGTTGAGCTGAGACGTGAAAAAAGGGACGTTTGAAAATTGAAATAGTTAGCAAGACAACCACAAATTTGATAGCATTGCTAAATTAGTAATTAATAAATATAATATTCTACCATGAATTATATTGCACACGTTAAAATAGCTATATTCAGTCCCAAGCTTGTCCAGAGGAGTTTAAATTGAAATGTCTGCAGAGGTTCAAGTATTCTGATTAGTTAATTTGATTCTAATGGTTGGAACAGAGCAACAAAAGTTACAAATAGCACAAGATAAAAAAGCTGAGATGAAAATAAAAAAAATGGGGACATAGATTCACTCTTTATTGTGTCATTTTCATGGAAGGTCAGTCTGCTCACTTGCCCTTTTGCATGCAGGTTATCAATAATGTGTTAGCTTTGGCTTCACCTGATCTCTAATGGTCTTTTGAGGCAGGGGTACACAGCTTTATTCTTCATAAATTAAGACATTTTGGATCTACACTGTCGAAAAATTACAAATTATTTTATTGCGTGATTTCTACAGCAGGAGGGTTAAGTGGAACTGACAACAATCCAAAATGAAGTGCTGATATTGATTTACATTCAGTCTAGATCCAGGAGCAGAAACGAGCCAGTTGCTGGTCAAAAATAAGGTTCAGCGTTTTCAATCACCTAATCAAGGATTCATTTGCACATGCAATCATATAACCTGCACATGCAATCATAACACAAGTCTTATTTAATTTTGCCATTACCTTCAATTTTAGTATTGACTTAAAAATGAATATTTACAAAAATGATTGTGAAATAGTATGATTATATTCATTTTGATTTAAGAGACCTCACCTCCTCACTTAGGATCTCTGTAAAAGCTCTTGAGGAGCATCTTATTGCTGGCCTGGTGTATCCAGCATGTCTCCATCTGATCTGTCATTTTAACACTTTATTTCATCTTTTTTACTTTAGCCCATGAACTGTCTATGTGTCGTTGCAGGATAATGACACCTCTTGTTTTTTATTGGTTCACTCAGCCAGACCAATCATTTTTTCAATGTTCCACTTATTTTAGTAGTTAAGTAGCTTTTTTTTGCTGTGATTGTTTGTTGTCATCTTTGTTATGATGTGACCCGTAATAATGATAAGCTAAATTACTTCCATTCAATCAAAATTGATTTCAATAAGAATAAAAAGTTACTCAGATCCAAGTGAAACAAGGCAACCCATGACAGTTTATATATCATGTCAAACCCATCTCTCTCTCTCATAAGATCCATCATTAGCTATAACTGTGTTAAAGGGGCAAGCGAAAACTTTCAAGCTGCAGAAATCTTGAGCAGAACCAGACATGAGGTATATAAGGGGGAGACAGAAAGAGGGACAGGTAGAGAAATATAGATGAAAATGAGTCAGACCTAAAGAGTTGGACAGACAGATGGCAGAATCAGGAAGGACTTGAGCAACTATGATAATAATAGAGGACCAACAAACAATCGCAAAAGCCTCTGTCACAATAAAAGAATAATGACACATTTGTAGAAATAAAACATATAAACATCATTCTGATGGAACAATGACAAATGATTCATGACTACACATGATTTGGATCAGAAGAAATAATCTATGTGGCTTCTTATTAAAGGTCTCTAATTCCAAACGGTTAAAACTTCAACTCTGGACTTTCCTGAGATGTCACCTTCTTTACAGGCACTCTTTTGCACGTTCTAGTTTTGCCTTATGTTCATCGTTATTTATAATCATGCATGGAGTCATTCAGAGATACCGGCTCAGAAATGATACAGTACATGAGATGGTTAACAACACAGACCTGCAAGATTTTTCACTAGCTGCATTATCAGTGCATCGTAGATTTAGACTTTTTGTGGACATGTTTCATGAAATAAGGTTACAAAAAGCGCCGCATCTATTTCAGATACAGCTGTGACACAAGGTACATCAGCTAAATCAAAAATAAATGACAAATATTTCCATCCTTGCGGTGGTGCCTATCATCATTCCCTCTATCACCTCATCTACTGTGATGCAGCAACAGTTGGGTTCAGTATGTTTTAAAATGTGTGAGATCATATTCCCATTTGTTGCTCATTTGAATAAAGGCGGTCTGACCCTTACTTGTGGGAAAACAAGTCTGTTGAAAGCTTTGTGTTTTGACAGGCCTTTAACTTTCCCCTAATTCCCAAACTTGTCTTGTAAATTTATGAAATGCTTTGCATTACAAATGATCATGTTGACAAACTACTACATAATTTTTCAGTTAATTTGATGGATGTATTCTGTTGCTGCATTATGGCTCCACACCACTGTAGCTCACAATGTGAATCCTCTGTCCTCTATCCGTCAAATCCCCTCCTCCTGTCAAGTAATCATGGGCTATACATGGCTGTTTAATATTCATAATCATGTGTCACTTTGACATTTTCAAAAGGTTCCCAATCATAGTCTCTGATGGCATCCTGTACAGGCTATGCATAACAATCTTCTTCTCTGTCATCAATAATTGTAGCTATCCTCAGCCAAGTCACACAGGGGCTGGTGTGTTGACATGAATACAGGCTGCTTTCTTACTGTAGACTTTGGTTTGAATGGTGGAGGCTGGAGTCAATGTCGATAAGAGTTTGTTTTTTTTATTACTGTGATGCTGCACAATTAAACATAACTCGATTCATTCTGTTTTTTTTAAGCATTCAAAATCCCAGAAAAAAAAAAATCAAAAGCAAAGATTTGATTTTACAACAGCAGTTTGTCTGTGTTGTGTGTGCGGTGAGGGACAAGTCTGTAGCAGATGGGACAACTTCACAGCCTGACAACATGTAGCTCACATACTTGACATTCCTCAAGCTACCTCCCTGGTTCTACCAAGAAATGCTGCTTGTTCTGCTTATTATTATAAATGTTATCTGACAAAAAAAGCTGTCTATTTTTTGGGGGGTGGTGATACATACAGCTGACCTGAAGTAACAAGTAAATATTTAATTCCTTATCTGACAAGAAATTACATCTAGGGGATGTCAAAGACCCCTTACATTTTGTACATTTTGTACATATTGTGTTTTTATTTCCTCTGTTGGAACACATTTTATAAATGTTAAATTTGGTAAATAAAACAACTATTACATTTTAGATTGGTTAAATCTGTGCCTCCTAAATCAGAGCCAAACTGACTTTCTAACGGCAGGTTTTTTAAACATTTTTAAATAGTCAAAATGTTATTAATCTTTCAACTGATAAATGAGCCATCACTAAGACATAACTTACAAGGTTACAATAGGAGATAAGCCGAGATGGCTCCTAAGGTAGGCTGAGACAAAAAAGCATATTGAAAAGGTATATATATATATATATGATGATGTAGTTCGGATAACTAAGATTCTTAAACATTCTTGTTAGTGTCGATTTAATTCAATAAACTTTATTTGTCCCCTGGCGGCAATTCAAAGGTAATTCAAGCTTTTTGTTATTCTGATTTAATTATACTCTAAAAAAAATCAAATCCTAAAAGTCTTCGGATGTCTTGAAAAAAACTTCTCAGCATGTGTGGAGAAAGTCCTGGGATTTAACTGAAAACAAAGTACAAAATAATGACTTACAATTAACTCTCGGCTGCTCTGTTATTATGTGGCTTTACAGCATGCCTAAGGGCAGTGCATATGGACCCTTGAAATAACTCAAGCTTTAGTTAAGGTTGTAATGTTTTCACTGTTTCTAGCCTACCCAGACATGAGGAATACCTGGGGTCTGACATGGAAAGGAATGTTAACAGTACTGAATACATGCTCGGAACAAGAGTGAGATAAGATCAGATTACATTATAAATGTTATTCCGTAATGCCGCTCAAATAAGCCTTTGGTTGCTGATCTAGGACCTGTGCTGCAGATGGTAGCTGTGTGCTTCTGCTGACACCTAAAGGAGAAACTGTTTTTTGCAGCTTCCATAATAAAAATGACAATAGTCTTCTTTATAGAAAGCTTTAAGATTTTTCTTTTTTAATATAATCTTTATTTAAAAATTACAAACATTCACAGTTCATTGGGAATTACAGCACACAATTATTATTATTATTTTGAATAATCAAGATATATTGCTTTGGTGTTGCTAGTACACATATGCATAACTCATTCTATATGAATTCCATGTAAAGCATTTCAAATTGTCATTATGTTCAAACATGATTTATACCACAAAGTAAGATACAGTAGGTTTTCTTTTTGTCTCCCAAACAACAACAACCAACTATATATTCCATATATTATATATCATATACATAATGTGTATGTATTGATTGATTGCTGTGTAAATTAAGCAAAAGAAGGCTTAATAACAGAGTCTATACAATATTCAAACACGTATAGAGAATGTCATGAAAGCCTCTATTAGGACAGAAGCATTCAGATTCTGCATGATTCATAGAGAAATGACGGATAAATAAATGATGGGCACATTTCTTTAGACCACTCATCAATGTTGGCTGTGTTGATAACACAAGTTGTTAATCCAAAACACTAACTTTGTACTTTAGCTTTGCCCACACTAGGCACAGAAAGCATACATAAGCACAATGACTTCTTATCTTAATCTTAGCCTGCCATCTTTCACAGTGGTTTTTGGAAGACTCGGTTTAAAATTCTGCACATTATTAATCATACTTGTGTAAAAGAAAAAAAAATCAAATTGAACATTCGTGCAACAGCTTGAGTACTGTCACAGTGAAGACTGCTCTCGTCAACAAAGAAATGCGTTAGGAAATGATTGCAAAAAGGTGGCACTACTTGATCTCCATGGTCTGTAATCACACTTGTCACTTGTCTGGACCACCACTGTGGATGAAATGTTTCCAACATAAACTTGAGTCAAATAAAGGACTTGCCTTGATTTAATCTATTTTAAAGCAAATGGATGAAAGTGTCTAGTGTCTGCAAATGACATTAAAGTTCTTGTAAAAAATAAATACAGTGTATAAAGTTTACATTGAACAGAAAGCACCATTCTGATTCAATGCAATGTCATGAACAGAATTGCAAAATAAACAATGTCTTTGAAATTAAGAATCCCCCCCCCACACACACACACACGCACACACACACACACTTCAGACATCTATCCTGTCCTGTGATCTGTAATATTGCACATTATAACGTACTTATAACTTTCTGGTGCCAAGTACCACTCCACAAAAAACTCCCATCGGTCTGCACTGCTTCTGGTAGAAAGCAACCATTTCGTAAAGTGAACTCAGGAAATGGAGTACAATGATGCTACTGATTAACTTACGATATCTTTTACAATAGATTCCCAAAAATCTTTGGAATATTTGAAAAATATTGTCTTGTTTAAAATGGTCTGCTATACTTTGACATGTTTCTCATATTTTTACTTTTAATCATTTCTATAATAATAAAGTTATAATTTGAAACTAAAAAGACTTTCCCATTTTTCTCTTGCATATAAATCTTCATGTAACAATGTTTCATGGAGAAAAGAAACACTGGAATACATGTTTTCATCCATGATCTCTGAAGACAGAAGATTTGTTCTAAAAACATCTTCCAATATTTGAGGCACTATACAGTCTTTGGATAGTCGATCTGAAAATTACCAGGTCACCTTTGAAAAAATTCAAGGTAAAATCACATCCTGTTCAATTTTCTCAGCAGAGTAACAGACTTTACCTCTTCTGAAAAAAATCACCTGTACATCAAATGAAGGAACTGCAAAACCATGTAACAAAAAGATCATTTCAGTCAGCGTATGCTGCATCAGTGTGAAGGCACATACACAATAATGCGCTTTTTGTACACTCAAATCAGTAAATATAAAAGGACAATGTTTCAATCATATTATGTGAAGGCACAGACTACCTGCTGTGCATTAATAATAACATATATATAAACTCTACATTTTGTCCGATATCTTGGATATTAACATTCAAATGAAATGACAATCTATTTACTGCATGTGTAAATCGTGCTTTGATCCCACTGAAGAGCAACAAACTACAGTTGCTTTTTGCCATTTTCTATTTGTTAAATATTAAACAAAACTAAAATCAACTGTACCAACTGCATTGTTTTAAAATGAACCCTTTGCATGATTCCTCCACAACATAAATAATCAAAGGTAAGACATTTTTTCCAGGACCAAACACGATTATTGTAAATGTTTGAATTTTAACTGAACAAGCAGAGAGGAGGAGAGTTTACAAATGGGTTTCTTGTTGTTCAGTGAGGGCTGGGTGTGTAATGGAGAATACCTAAAACTACACCAGGGCTCTACTAGTGTGAGTGCCTGCCACCTAGTGGTTAAAAAAAAGTGATAAACACAGCTTTCAGAAACATAATAGTAACAAAAACATTTGGTTATAGCTACTCATCTGTATGGACGAGTATTGTAAACATTTAAGAAAGGTTATATTAAAAACATACTGCATTCATTTTTTGTCTAGTAAAACAAAAAAAACCTTAAAAAAACAAATGAACCCCCTGATGCATACCAAAAGGTGGAGAATGTCAGGCACAGTCACATTCCTTGAAAGAAGAAGTGCTGCCGTTTTATAGCCTATTACTTCTATGTTTACTGTTTGTAACAAAACACCAAGAAAAATTCCTTGTATGTGTAAACGTACTTGGCAATAAACCTGATTATGATAAGTAATCACTTCCTCAGACGAGGGGCTGTGTAAAGGGAAAAGTAAAGGGTTAAATTATGTGTGGTGCAACATGTGTTGCTCCTGTTCACCCCAAATTCTAGATTGCATCACCATGCTTTGCCAAACTCAAAGATTTAAACATCCATTTAAAACATGCAGGAACACAATTTCACTGATGCTTTCAGGTGCTATTTCCTTGTTCTTGCTCAAACAGAAGCATGGCGAGCTGGGATCGGGAACCAAGACCTTCCATGTTGCTCTGCATGCATCTATGATAGATGTCTTCACTCAACCGTGGGTTGCATGCTTGGTACCTGTACTGCTGGTGCAATGCTGGCTCCACTGCTCTAAATACATGTAGACTGGAATACTTTACAAACATGTCATAGACGTCCAAAGTGTCCAGAATCTCCTCGTTCTCTTGGACGTCTGCCACCATGCGTGTGCGCGTTGCCATGTAGTCTGAGTTGTAAAAACATGCTTCTTCAAATGACCTTTGGTCGAAATGGCCTGCATCCTTAACCAGATCAAATGTGACAGGACGTTGTTGGTTGTGATAGGCCACATCAGGGTTGAAGTCCTGGAAGTGGATTGGAAAAAACACCTGCCAGTTGTTGATGGAATTCATACGGCAGCGGTTCAGAAATTCTGAATTGATGTTTGTGTTGGCATTAGCTAAAAAGAACAGCGTGTCAACTGGGTGCTTCTTTGAGATGATGTCCATATACTTGATCTGGGATGGTGTTTCTGTCTTGACACTTATCCACGGGATTTTTACGGCAGGGTATTTGTGTTCATACGCATTTATTTGAGTCTTCACACTGGCAAATATATCATTTTGGGTAACTTGCTGTGCCTCCACTGGGTCATAAATAAACAAGAAAGTAAGGATTGCATTTTCACTAGTTTCAAAAGCGTTAGAGGCAAAGACTTCCAGGAAATGGTTGACATAAGTCCTGTCCTGCAGAGTAAGAGGTATAATGATGTGGACCCTTGTAGCCTCAGTAACATAGGGCATGGGGATGATCTCAATCCGACTCAAAGGTCGCACCAAATGAACCCGCTTAGTGATGGAACGGCTATGACCTTTTTGGTTAACCACCTCAAGCTGAAGGTCCAAGGTGTACTCCATGCCCCTGATAGGGTCGAAGCGCCTGTATCCATTTATGAGCTGCTGCTTCTTCAGGTGTAAGACAGGCATGTACTTCTTGTTCAACTCTCCCATGGCCGTGGCAATGACATCAGCAACATCCAAGCGATCAATGCCACGCAGTTCACATTTTGGAGAGCCATCAATGCACGAGTAAATCTCCTCCTCTGTAAAATATTCCCACTTTAAAACTTCGAACCGAGATTTCGGCTCAAAGGGTGGATTGATCCCCACAGGCCACTGGGCGCTTCGATTACCCTCAAAAGCAACTACACTCACATTCTTTATTTCTTCCTGTGGAAAGACAAGACACGTTCTGATCAGGACAGTCGCCAACCCATAACTTACAGATCTTCAATTGTGAACAACAGTGTTGAATGTTCATTTAAGGTAAGCTCAGAAAAATAAGGATTTCAACTTTGACTCTAACCATCGGTTGTTTGTGACCCTTGGAAATCAGCTTACCTGCAGCTTAGCAATCTCATCGTAAGTCTTCTGCAGTTCAATCTCAGTGAAGTATCTGTGTAGCCGGTACATCTGTTCAGGGTCAGACACTGGATGGACGGCCACAGCTCTCTTGAACTGTTCACTCTGCTCTTTACTGGGGTCAGAGTTTTTTCCTAATTCATAATGGTGATACTGCAGCCCCTGAGAAGAAAGATAGGTCGTTTCATGAGAGGCTTAGTTGTTATACTCAGCTGCTTCATGAAAACAAACATTACATAGTCTCTTATTATCTATCATATTGCGCTAATCTTAACTGCAAAGGCTAGGTTTTACCATAATTGCACTATGAACCCTAAGATTTACTTTGTAAGAACAGAACAATGTTTCTCAAAACTGTAGTTTTTTTCCCCTCTCACAGCCTTGCTCTTTATCAGGAAATGAATTTATTCTGGGAATATGAGGTTTAATAAATACTTTTGTAATTGATTGCATACCTTTTAATATTTAACCAATATGCTTAGTTCAAACGGTACATGTTAAGAATTTGAAGTAGAACCCTTTAATGTGAACGGCTAACACTTGAATCCCACTTTCAGACACAGTCATTTAATCTGAAAACCGAGTGGGCACCTAAGGAGCTTGAGTGATTAGAAAAAGTGAATCCAATCTCATCAAGCTATTAAAAGAAAAGGAATTGAGACACTGCTTAACTGAGCAGCAAGGCCACTCGGTTGCAAATATTTACAGACAGCTTAACGTCTGTTGTGGTGAAGTGAAGCAATAGTTGTGCCTGTTTGTAATCATTGTTCCTTTTAACAGATACATTGATGACTGATGGTTCTTTTGTTCCCTCCCTTATAAAAAGGGGTTCTGCTGAAGCTCCTCTGGCCAAGGATACTAGTCACTATTGTAACAAAATGGTTTCTGTGTCATTGCCATGGAGGAGAAGATGGAAGCAAAAAACAGTGTGTAACAACAAACCAATGGGCAAAACATATAAAAGCAGTAATGACATGTTGAAATAAAGACGAAAAGCTTAAGCATTGGACAGACAAATTGTGGCTGAAAGGGCACTGGGACAGATCATGGCTCCACAGAGCTCGTTTGACCTTAAAAGTTAATGACATTACAGGAGCAGAGCATGTTGACCCACATGGGATTTTCACACCATTGAACCCAAGCAGGGCTGAACTCAGCTGTCATTTGCTTGCCTGTTTTCGTATTCAAAGATGCTGCTGTAGCTTTGAAAAAACGCGAAATGCTAAAGGATATTAGCAATCTACTCTGATACAATCACCACCTCTATGTTAGAATGTCATTGCAGTTTTATATACCTATCAGTTTTTAGTGCTGTCAAATACTGATTTTTTTTTTTTTTGTCATAACTGATGTATTTTTTGTTGTTGTTGTCAAGAAGGAGAACCACTCCTGTTTCGTACGTCACAAATGGCCCTGATGGCATATTTCTGATTTTTCGTCATTGCGGCTCATCATTCATTTTAAAGCTCCTCACAGTTTGTCTCTACCACCTGTGGACAAAGTGGTGCCTCTTATGTCTTTGCTGATTTTTTTCCCCCCTGTAATATATAAGCAGTGTTTCCAGATGAAGAATAAAGTCTGTTTCTGCAGCATGTATTTAATCACTTCATATGACAGCTGATGGTCAGATAGAGACATCGGTATGAGTTTCATAAACTCCACACAGGAGCCAATCAATTAACTGTATTATCTTATTTCCTCTACACCCTTCCCTTTAACCATGAAAATTAAATAAATGTATGTATATATAGTTCAAGTATATCTAAAAATGAATAATTAATGATAGTGAACAACAATGTAATCAAGGGCACATTTGAGGTTAAAACTCAACTTACCTCAAACTCACTGACACAGTTTGTGTCTGTATAATCAATGATGCATCTTCCGAGCCACTCATCAGGCCTTGCACTAAGGATGTCATTTCTGCAGTTTTCCAGGAAGGGCTGAAGTCGGAGGAGCAAGGTACGTGAAAGGAGGTATCCATATCCTCCGTAGCAATACTTTCCCTCCATCTTTCCGCCAATGAACTCCTCAGGACTGCCCATGTAAAGCTCTCGGTCCATACTGAGGTGATCTACGAGGACTTTTATCCTGTCAGCTCCCGTGTAGGCGTCATCTTGGATAAAGTAAAACCAGTCGTATTCGTTGATGTAATGGTCCAAAATGTATTTGATGTTCTGAAACATGTTCCATATCAGTCTCTCGTCTCCATGAGAGACAACGAACATGCCATGAGGAACTTTGCGGTTGCGCATGCCAGTGAAGAAGATCACGGTGTCCAGGTGGTGACTAATGGTGCGATTAACAGCTACCCCCAGGGTGTTCATGGTGTTTTTAGATGTCAGGACCCCGACAAACAGACGCTCTCGCATCCCCAACTCTGTGCTTATGTATTTAGCTCTGAAAAAAGACAACAAGGGAAAACTGATACTGTTTCGGATAGAAAGATACATCGAAACACTGGAAGACTAACTTTGCAACATGGAACAATCCTGCGTCTCACACTGAAAGAGAAATGTAATCTTTTTTGAACAAATATTGTAATGGTACATTTATTAATAAGCTTTGTAATTAAGGGAAATAATAATGACATGAAAAGGAGCTTACAGTGAAGCAAATAGAAATTATTGTCCACCAACATTTCAAAGCCATTTTGCTGAAAAACTTGATGGATATTGTGTCACAAAGAACAAAAACACTGGAAGACATCACCTTTGGTTCTTGGTTGTCATAATAAGAGGTTAGACATTATTAACATAATAGACAATTAATTAAGAAAACGGTGAATGGTGGTAATAGGCTACATGTAACAGATAGTTGCAGCTCTTCCTTCTAATCCTCAGATCATTGAATGTTGGCAGAACATAAATGATATCCATGACTCAATAAATGTTTCCACCACAGGGGAAAACTCTCTTTATCAGAACTGCATCGGAATGCAACCGCTTTGATTGTGAAGTCTTAAATGCATACAAGGTCTTTCTTTAAAAAAAAAAAACACACACAATCCCAGGAATGTGTGTCTATTTACGAAGACGGGAATCATTTTGGTACGGACACATGGTCTGAAATATGTAGTTTATCTGGCAGAGAAGGCCAGCTGCTTGAAAGCAGAGGAGAAAGTAAGTGGGGCTGCATGCTTCGCATTTTATTGCACTCAGTGTGACAGATTGATAAAGTTAGATGAGGATGTAGAGGGAAAATAAAAAAACATCATGTGAAAAGATTTACTTTTGTTTAATTCGTCGTTTTCAATTGCTGAACTCACACGTCACGCAGTCTCATTATAGACTAACAAACCTTTTGAATTATCTTCACATGAAGATGAGCTACACTGCGGCCTGTTGTCCTGCACAATGTGATGTTGAATTTCCATTATATAGATCATATCAGCGTACCTGAAAACTTTCTTCGACGCACTTTGTTGGACTTGTTTATATGGGACTATCCTCGGTTCAAAATCCTCGTCGGACTCCACCTCGTTCACAGTGGATATAGAGTTGGGCTTTCTGGCTCCTTTAAGCAGCCCATCTTGACCCGAAGTCATGTCCTCACCCTGCTTAGCGTCCGAGTAGCATGCTTCTTCAGTCCAGCTTACACTCAGTAAACTCAAGGTGAAGCCCAAAGAAATACCGATTACCACCGGGCCGACCGACCGCAGGACAGAAATGAACGCCGAGAATCTCATGTTGGACACCGACACTGTCAAGTCCCACGACACCCGGAAACAATCCGAACGAGCCTCTACTTACGAACACTTTAACTATACATCTGGTCACACGCGAGGAAGACGAACCAGATGTTCAACTTGAGGATGAAAGACCTAGATTCTTCCCTAAAAGTGCGCAGGATTCTTACGTGTCAATACAGCAGCTACCTGGCTCCTCCCCCGGCCAGACCTGAGCAACAGAGGCGGGTCGAGTTCCTAGACTGAGTGAATGAACGCAGATTGCGCCTGGCGGAGGGATATTCACCCTACTGACAGTAACATACTGACTTTTATCAAATGTAGCAAATTTGTCTATCTATCTATGTGTTAATCCAGACTATCTGCCGAGGATTATTATGATGTCATTGTAATAGTGTAGTAAATATTTTTAATTGAACTGAGAGTGCCACTTATATGTTATTTATTCGGTTTCTTAGATGTTTTGGGACTCTTTCTAACAAGATTTGAACATCTTTTTCTGCATTATGAATATTCTAAGCAGGCCTATATTTACACAATTGTGCAAAAACACAATCCAAAGATTATCTAAAGCTGATTTGAGGCTTGACAAGTCATGTGGATAACCTTTAAAGTTTGTGTTATTTTTAGATTTATGGGCTAAATTAGGAGAAATGTTTTATTTGTAAATTATATGGTAAGTGTGAACATAACGAAATCTTATAGTGATGAGAAAATCTGTATAAGCGTTTATTGAAACGGATTTTGCTTTGCAGAAATTAACAATTGTGAAACGGTCCTTTACCTAACGTCAGATTGTGATGTAAAGTAGGACAGGAGCTGCTATCTCCCACGTTCTTCGCGAGCCTGTGAATGCACCAGTTTAGCTGCCCCGTGTAGCTGCCTGTAGGAAAAGACGGTAGATGTCACAAGCTGCAGCGCCGCTTCTGCCATTTAACGCTGGAGTTTCTCCTCACATGCTAACTTCAAGCGTGACAGAGCCCGCAAAAGAGTTTCATGCTGCTGCAGGACTGAACACATCTGTTTGGTGTTTTTGAACGCAGTCATTGTAGTAATGGAGTGTCGTGTGTTGTCCATTCAGAGTCACGTTGTCAGGGGATACGTCGGGAACAAGTCGGCAACATTCCCATTACAGGTAAGAAATATATCTTACCTTGAAATGTTTCAGTGTAGCCAATGAGAAAGATAAAGGTAGCGTGAAAAGAGAAATACGTAGACAGAAATCTACTTTGGGGAAGTATGACAATATAATTTAAATAATTGTGACATCAGATATGCTAAGTTACTGTTTTAACAGGAACCGCACACAGGCCATTTTTCTTTACTAAAAACAATTTACTCAACCAAGTTAGCTTTCAGCCTACCTAATGAGTTTACATTAAAATACAAAAAAAAATAAAAAAAAATCAAACGTCACTTTTCGATCGTAAATGTCACATGTAAATGTTGTTGAGCTTCCAGTTATTCAGACTCTATCTACAGGTGGCTATAGCAGTGCAAACCACACTTGTTATGTTGAATTAGTTTTTACTGTGTGTAATGGATGTTATGTGAAGTAGTGTTCACAGTAAAGCAGTTTCCATACAGAAGGCATCATGCTAGTAAAGGACTTTACAATGGTTTCTGTATTGATAGTAGTAAACTCAACTTGGAGACATAATGACCTTAGACTTAACCTTCACTCATACACTCTGAAGTTGTCCAGATTTTTGTATTTCAGTGGGTTTGTTATCATATCAATGTGTAACAACTAGCTAACAAAAAGCTTAAATGACACAGATGTCATTGGTCTTTGTTTAAACAGACACTGCTGTTTATCACTTCTTTCTTTCTTTCTTTTTAAAGGTGCTGGGCTTTGAAGTGGACTCAATCAACTCTGTGCAGTTCTCCAATCACACAGGTGAGTCTTAGTGCTTTAAATTCCCTTGTGTGACAAAACACCCTGATTTTATTTCAGTTTCACAAGTAGATAAATTTATGTTCCAATTTATTTTCTCTTTTGCTCTTTTCTATCAAATATGGCGATATTAATTGATTGTTATTGTTGTTACAAGGGCCAGGGAGGCTTTTGTCCTGATATAGATCTAGAGAAGTGGTTCATGTGACGTCAGTAGATAGTAGAAGTCCTGAGTTGTGTAGACTTTGGCCACTAAAAGTCATTTTGTTTGGGTCTTTTTGCTCTTCCAGCAAAAAACACTAGTACACACACAAAAATCTATATCTTGCCAAAAAATATAATTTAGGTTTCAAATCATAAACAAATACTTTGAAAATTAATAATCAGAATATACAGTATATACTTCTCATACACTCAACTAGTTTGTTAAGCTAACACTAAACATGTCTAAGGAAGAGAGACTTCACTTGTTTTACTACGTGATACCCCATAATGTCAGAGGGCTTATGTTGCCTAGTATTAAGACAAGTAGATATTTGTTATTTAAGAGAAGTGCAAAATTCACATTAAAGCCATAACTGTTAAAATAATTGCAATATGTATGCAGCCTTTGTTATTATTCAGTGTCTTAAAAATAACGAATTAAGATCACTTTAAATTAATGTAATAATTTATTAACTTTTAGACAGTCAATTTCTAGCCTTAGATCGTAATTTCTATTCAACATTCATTTGACACACAAGTTGATGAAAGCAGGATATAGTTCAGTATAGTCTTTGTAAAATGGAGTACAAAAATATTGCTTCAATAAGAAGAAAAACAGGCGTTTCTGCTTGTTGGCTGTTAGCCCTGCAGAAAGGGGAAATGAGAGGTTTCTGTATCAAAGAATGCAAAACATTTCTTCACCATTGGGGCAGGAGACTCTACACAGGAATTGCTCAAATCAGCTACATTTTCTCCATCTTCAGAGGAAAGTGATCAGTGTTAAGCATCTAGTAACTATGTAGTGTAATGTTGCATATAGTTTAGTAACTGTGTAAACAACACAAATACTTTTATTCCCTTTTATATAAGGCATTGATATTCACTTTATCCTATAACCACAGCACATACTCCTTTTCTGTAAGCTTTCTTTATAGTCTCAATGCAGGACGTCCTCTCACTGACTCAGGTTTGGGTTTTGTCTGAACTCTGAGCCTCAGTATAAAGAATATTAAAGTTTCAGTGCTTCCTCTCATTTGTAGTTTGGCCAGTTTTAAGGGAATATTTTAGGTCAGTGGTCAAAGGGGGGACAGAGAAAGGGGGAAATTGGCAGCCAGGATAGACTTCCCATTCAGTTACTGATTAGGCCCCATTTGGCCCTCAACACAACACAGAGGAGGGGGGGGGCACAGCAGAGGAAGATGGGGGATGGGTTGACACATAAGGAGTTAGGAAAACAAAATGCTGTGACGGTTATTTACATTCGCTGAAAAAGAGAAGAGGTACAACACTTGCACTATTGCACATGTTTCCAATTTCAAAGTCTTGAAAATTTGAGTCACCATTCTCCCTCTTGATTCCTAGGTTACGCCCATTGGAAAGGGCAAGTATTGACTGCAGAGGAGCTTAATGTGTTGTATGAGGGCATAAAACTGAATAAGGTGAACCACTATGATTACATCCTCACAGGTAAGTCTCTCCACCAGAAACTTAAAGTAGGCACAAATAAGTGTAATGTTTTGAGAGAAGGGACATGCATTACCCCCAATTAAATGTGTATGTTGATACAAGAATGTTAATGTCTTTCATTTGATCAATTTGTTATGGTGGGCTACCATCCTGGCGTGATAAACCTGAAGACTTACATTTTCTCCTTTCTCTTTTAAAACGTTCATTCCCAAGGTTACAGCAGAGACATGTCATTCCTGGAAATGGTAGTTGATATTATTCAGGAGCTGAAGAATGCCAATCCCTCCCTGGTATATGGTCAGTGTACATTTATCACATTTCAAATTGGAATACATATTGGTTAGGTGATCGATCAGTACGTTTAAGGACAACAGAAAATAACATGCATCTGTAAAAATATTCATGTACTCTTGACTTATGACATGTATTCTCAAGTTACAGCTTCTCAGTTATGACGACTTGATGTTTTCCCTAAAAGTGATTCTAAACTGTATAAAGGTTTTATTAGGTTTTTAGATCAGAACAATAAACTGATGAGGACATCTTGAGTTTGAGGTGATAGTGAGGGTCACTTTTCACTTACTTGTGACAGGTTGACACACCTAGAATCTGCTTGATAAATGAATCCGCAAATGAAGTAATATTGAAACTAAACATTTCTTACACACTTGTCTGTAATATCAAACTGTATTTGTAAATATACTGTATGTGCAAATTCTTACTTTTGCACAGTTTGTGATCCTGTAATGGGAGACCAAGGAGCCATGGTAAGCATTTTATATTAATGTAAATGCTATACCAAAAGAGTACGGTCTAGACCCTATACATATAAAGATTTCACTCTAGATTTACTGTGAAATCCCCTTGTTTTAAAACATAAAAAACTGTTGTCTGTTTCAGTACGTTCCAGAGTTCTTGTTGCCAGTTTACAGAGACAAAGTAGTGCCTCTAGCTGACATCCTCACCCCAAACCAGTTTGAAGCAGAGTAAGTGAACTAAAATAATCATAACCAAAATGTGATAATAATCCTGATATTTTGTATACATTTCCAGTTGAAAAAATATCTGTACATAATGGAGGTCTGGAAAGACTCTCTCACTGGTACATCCATCTATCACAGGTTATTAACTGGTAGGAAAATCAACACGGAGGCAGATGCTGTTGAGGTGAGTATCCTTTTAAATTCTGTCTGTGCTGCACTTCATTTCTCATATGTCACCAATACAGTAGGTAGACTGCTTGAGGATCATTTCTGCTCTCCAGGTGATGGACCTGCTTCATTCCATGGGTCCAGATACTGTTGTCCTGACTAGTACAGACCTGCCATCAAAATATGGGGACCAGTTTCTGCTGGCCCTTGGGAGCCAGAAAATAGGTAAACCTCAAAATAGCATCAGAAGCAAATCAACAATATGATCGTTATTGTCCAGAAATGTAATCATGTCGTGTGCAGTTTCTACATCTTTCCCTGGCAGTTTCAGAAGTGTATTGTATACATAGACAGACTTAACTGTTCCCAGTTTCAGATGTATTCCACTGCTGGACAACTTCTAACATAGCAGCACAATAAATCACAGCACCACATATAACGACAAACAGGGACTAACAGGTTCAAACGTCTCTTAAAACAAGCCGTGTACCTGTTTATGACCCAGTATCTATGGCCTGATGGTCGCAGTGTGAAAAATGAGTTCAGTTGATATGTGTGTCCTCTCTGTAGTGAAAGCAGATGGGACCAACACCACTCAGAAAATCTGCATGGACATCCCCAAGGTCGATGCTGTGTTTGTGGGGACAGGAGACTTGTTTGCTGCCCTGTTGCTTGCCTGGACTCACCATCACCCTAAAGACCTAAAGGTCAGTTACAAGAATGATCAAAAAGCTAATGGGTGTCATATTTCTATTGCTTAATGAATGAATCACTACATCCCACTGCTTTTTACAGGCTGCCTGTGAAAAGACCGTCTCAGTCATGCACCATGTCATTAAGAGGACCATTACTTATGCCAATGGTAGGGTTTGTGTGCATTTATTATACTCCTTTAGTCATGTGGTCTCTCTCTTCTTTATCTTGGAGTTGCTAAACCAACATATAAGAATCCTGTTTGCTTTCTTCTGCTCTTAACATTATATTCACACAATCAATGTTAAACATTAAACCACTTGCATTTTCTCAAAAGACATTTGTCAATATGGAGTACAAGTAAATAACTAATAAAAAAAGACACTCACTTTGCTCTCATAACTGCCACAAGAAGATTGAGATGAGACTTACCTTTTAAATGCTGACTAAACCAACAAGCCAGAATCCAAAAAGTATGTTGTTTTAATTTCAACTGCTCTTCTCTCTTTTCAGAGATGGCTGGTCCTGGGAAAAGGCCCAGTCCTGCACAGCTAGAGCTGAGGATGGTTCAGAGCAAAGGCGACATTGAGAATCCTGCCGTTGTAGTGGAAGCTAAGGTTTTATAGAAGTCTTCTCACTGAACAGAGAAACATTCTCATGACCATTAACATTGTGCTGGCACAAATCAGCTTCACATTTAGGTGGTTCACCAGTTTCATGAAGGATTTTCCATTGAAGACTCTCAAATGTCGCGGCCTTACAGAATGTCTAAAGGAAGATGGCGATCTTCTCATGAAAGGGGTCAGCAGTTGTACATTCTACTTAACACACTGAAAATACTGCCATATGTGTCTGTACTATGGCCTATGTAGACATTTCCTCTTCTAAAAAAAACAACATAGCCAACTAAGTGGACATTTTCAAATAGTGCAAGTGTACTTGAATAACCCCTTTACATGGGAAACTATTTCTTGATATAAATGTACTAATCTCAATTATGTTGAATAGGAAAGTGTGCTAGTGATGCATGCATTCGAGTAAGGGTTAGTCACATGTACTTAAAGTGTGACGCTCACAAGTCATTATAAGCACATCATTATTGTGTCTATGATTTAATCAAAACTATTGTGTTTTAGGTGGTAATAAGTAACAATGATAATTCAAGTGTTAGCAGCTTTAGCTGAGTACAAACTATTTTTTTAAATGTCAAAATCACAAGAATTTTACTGCATTGGATGTTTTCTAAAATTAATATAAATATACATGGGTGTGTCTCAAATACTTTAAGTCAAGTGTAAACACCTATTGTATGCAGATTGAATGTGTTTGAGGTGCGGGGAAGTTTTTTTGTAATTTCCTCAAAACATCAAACCACTTACGCAATTTACACAAATCAGCCAAAACATTATGAGCACCTGCCTAGTATTGTAAAGACCCCCCCTCTCATACGGTCCTGCTGACAGGTCTGCAGCTACACAGCCCCACACACATCATACTATGGGTGGCTGTGAATCAGTGGTAGAGTCGCTCGCCTGTCGATAAGAAGGTTGTGGGTTCGAGCTCCAGTTCTTGCGGTCACATGTCATAGTGAGCAAGACACTGAAGCCCAAATGACTCAAATGGTTATGAATTGATTTCTTAATACTGATAGACGCTTTTAAGAGCAGCCTCTGCCATTTACTACAATGCACTGTTTGTTTTGACACCTTTCTAACAGAACCACCATTAACTTGTCCAGCAATAAGCGCTCCAAAAGCTTTTCTGCACAAGAGCTGCAGTGTTGGACATGCTCTGACATGTCTAACACTTACATCCTTACCTTTGTCGATTTTTCTTTTGCTCCAAACAGATACACTTTGAGAACAGAGTGTTCACTTGCTGCCTAACATATCCCACTCACTGACAGGTGCCATTGTAAAGAGATAATAATAAATGTTAGTGGTCCTAATGTTATGGCTGATCAGTGTATAAGTAGTCCCTATATTTGCATTACCACTTTTTTTTTTTCAATTTGTATGGCTATCAATGCATTTGAACTGCATTTGTTCATCTGTTAATCATGACCACAGCTTTTGTTTAAAGTTGTTTGTTTAATCAATTTTCGTATAATGATTTTCACTAGCAGTGTTTAACATGATAGATCCATGTCTTAAACATCTCAAATTGAGGTATTTGCACAGATAATCAATATATTTAATAGTAATCATTGTTTTCATTTTTTACTTTTGTCATATCTCAGCAAAAGCGTTGTAATGAGAAACTTAACTGTATACTGGCCTTAACAGGGTTGCGAGGAAAAAACACAGGCTGTGAATGTTTTTGTGTACCAATGTAATACTTGATCCACATACATAATGATAGAGAGACAAGTGCCAGACCTTAAGCTGCCGCTCTGATATGGAGCAACATAGAAACAGAATTAATAAATGACTGATCTTTTACTGAAACCTTTTTTTTTTGTTTCTTTTTATTGCAGGTTTGTAAGATAAGTATCCAAAGAAATGTATAATTTTATTGTATATGAACTTTTTGTTGTTGAAACATGAAATCTGAATGAAGCAGTACTCCAGATCTTCCATTGTAGTTTATCAATCGTGTAATAAATAGGGCTCATTTTAAAATATGCACAAACTAATTTAAAGCACATCATTGAATGCTAGGTGAGAGGGTGCTTAAATGAAAGCCCCAAAAAAGTCGAACTAGTCAGATGCCATGCACAATATATTATGTGATTAGGGCCAGGTGACTGCTCTGCTAGCCCAACCCTAATCCATAGCATGAACAGCCAGCATTAACCCAAATAACCAGACAGACCAATATGTCTGCTGTAACCTGAGAACAGTAAGGATGTGTGGACCTTTTTGCTGAAAACTACTATATGATAGTTTGAGCAATTAAGCATACCAACAGATACCATATTTGCCATCCAAAAAGCAATGGAGCTCTCACAAACCTCTAGATCTGCATTATGCTTTATGCTGCAACGTATGCTGTAGTTATCTTGAAATACCAGCAGAGGGCTAAAAGTGCATTTAAACACATACACCTATTCATGTACTGAAATTGCCAACTCAACATTACACTGCTGTGTAGAACTTTTATTTTCATCATCCACTCATGCGGAAATTCTAATTTTTCTTCAGAGCAGAGCACAGGGTTGAATAAGTTTTTAAAGAAAAAATAAAACAATAGAAACATCAAGAAAAAAAAAACTCTTCTATGGTTTTGTCAATAAGTGGTAAAGAAAACTGAAGAGATCCGACCAAAATATCTGTTTATAAAAAAAAAAGTTTAAGATACTGCACCAATAAAAATGATTAAAAAAATACATCCCAGATATTGGACATTAAATATAAAGTCCCTTTTCCCCAAAAAATTGTTAATTTTTTAAGAATGATTTGATTTTAAATGCTTTTGCGTAACAGAGAAAACAATCTTAAATGTACCATATTTCAGATAATACATGTAAAAAAAAAAAAAAAATGTTGCTGGGACGTTTTAAAAAGCTACTGGATATGCAGTTTCTCTTTCTGAAGGAGAGTTAATATAACAACATTAAAGGTGATATTGCAGAGAATTTGAATTTGAAAACTCAAGCAAAATCTGCAATTTTATGTGACTGGTATCTTACAATACAATATATATATATATATATATATATAACAAATACAATATCCTATATCAGTAAGAATAATGTTCCTACTCCTTTCACCTGCACGTACAGGATGAGGAGCGGCAGTGTGTTTGCACAGGACAAGGAGGCACAGCACCATTATTTAAGAAGAAAGTAAGTTATTAGTATTTCTGTCAGATTAAACGAGGGGCCGGACCGGATGTTGGGCACGCAGCCTTCAGATGGGCTTTGAGGAAATGTGGGTCTTTAACCGACAAACAATAGCTGTCTTGCAAATCGCATTAGCGTAGGTCATTTTTTTTACTGCGTTTCTGGAAACGCACGAAGTAAGAAAGGCTTCTTAACAAAGTTGTCATACCCCACCGAAAGCCAAACAGCGGCGACGAAGCATATGTAGACATCCTGCCTGCTCCCAAACTCCCGACTCAATCATTTTGAGGTAAGTCCAGAGAACAGTAAGCTGACTGCTAACGCTAGCTGACTGACTAGCATAGCACAGGGGCAGCGAGCGACGCAGCTCGGTGGGCTGTTACATGGACATACGTGAATGTGGGGGAAATGTGCCTTAGTAGCAATGAGGCATTTCAAATAGAGGAATTAACCACACTCTGATTTAAATGAAAAGCCTAGCTGTGCCGAGTTTAAGGACATAGCATGCTAGCGCACACGGTTAGCAGCCGTACTGTCTGCCCTTGTGTTTCTCCGATGAGTTCCCACCTTTAGGTTCACTTTACCTCTAACTTATTTACCATGCGTGGTAGCAGCAGTAGGATACATTTGCTATTTATTTGGGCAATCTTATGTATGGAATATTATGTGTGTGACTCTGAGATTAACTCGTAGCTTTCTGAATTTATAATAAAGAAGATTGAAAGTCAGTGTTTGTCCCTGGTTGGACGCAAGGTGCACGCTGGTCACGTAGCTGCTCCACGCTAACCACGCTGCACTTTTCACTTCATGTGTATTCAGGGACCGAGAAGCTGCGAAACTATATTGCTGAAGTCAGCGTGAAGGGTGGACGCCTAGAGTAAATGATGTTTGGGTTCATTCAAAAAAAAAAAAAAAAAATTTGCAGTGCAAGCCTTCAGTGCTCAGCTGTACGTCATGCGAGCCATCTGGCTTCAAGTTGACCTGCGTACGATGGCACCATACACCTGACGTGAGGTTACTGGAGTTCATTCAGCGGCTCTTCACTCTTATTTCATCATCAGGGTTGAACCACAGACTGCAAAGGGTTGAACCTTTTATTATTAGTACTCGCCTGGGCAGATAAAGTTTAACGTGAACTTTTCAGACATCTGAAAACTGTCATTTTCTTCTGAGAGTTACTATATAACTTTCTAATCTTTGTACATAGTTGATCATGATGATTTTTCTCATACCTAGAGAACACATTTGAATAAAACAAGTTTCAATAAAAACATTTTGGTCAATTTTGAAATATAATTCATATAAAACCCCATCAATAAACAGACTGAGAAAACTTTTAACTTAAGGGCTAACAAAACAGTATTTACACAGCTGCATGCAAAATATGTAACTAACACATTTAATGTAATTACTTCCTTTCTGTTGCTTACATGAGTTCTACCTAATGACAATTATTTCAGTATGAATTTGAAAAATTGTACTCATTTTCACCCAAGTCTTTGTAAATCGAGTGACATTAGTTTATTGAGGAAAAAAACAGTCTTATTTTGTGATTATTTTTGTGAATTTGATCACAATCTTGTCCACTGTATCTGAAAGAAGATACAGTCATACATCTTATATGCTCCAGTTAATTCAATGAGCGGCACATTCAAAGTCCAGCAACATGACAGTGAGTGAAACTGAATTCTCTATCAGTCTAGTCAGTCGAAGTATACTGTATGTCTTTAGGACTTTGAGACGTCTATGCAAGATATCGGCTTTTATTTGAGCAGTGCAGGCTTAGACTGGAATCCCTCACGAGCAATATTTTGTGAAAAAAAATATCACTAAACTTTTGGCTGTTTTGGGGACAACCTGGTCATTCACACTCAATTTCTTAATTATATAATGAACTACATATACCACATTTTAACATACATTAATTCTATTAACAAATCTAAATTTAAAATACAAGTTTAAACTGGGTACATCTCTAGGTTGCTTTTAGCCAGCACTTGACCTTTGTGGTTAAAGATTTAAAATCAGCAGTTCATTTTATTTCAGTTGGTAATGTGTTGCTCAGTTTACAGCCCTTAAAATAGAAAGATGACCGTCCAAATTTAGATCGACAATGTTGTATGGAACAGTTTCCATTCACTATGCTTCCTGTTACTCTATTACTGTCCTGCCTTTGAACATTGCTGAAAAGAGGTTCAGGTGCAAGATTGTTTTCAAGATTGTCTTGAAACTAAGTTTCGTCTTTATAGTATGTGGAAGGGATGCCACCAAATGTGTTTTTGTCCGTTATTTCAGGGCCTGATTGTACAATGATGAAAGGTTTCTGTGTCCATTGTCAGTACTTCTTGCGCTGGCAGAGCCCACCAATTTCAGAGCGCTTCTCAACATTGCTCATTTTTGCTAGGTTACGAAAATTGACTTTTACTTCAGTTGCTAGTGACAGTTAGGTTTTAATCATTGGCAGCTGGTCAATAGAGGGTGCTAGGGCGCCTCCCAACCACTCCCCACAAAGAGAATGACAGACCTTCACTGAACAAGATGTTTTAAAATTGTCTTTAAATATAGGCTATACATACATTTCATTTTAAAAGTCCAAAGTTAATATTATGTAGTTAATGAGTCAAATGTATGCTCTGCAACAATAATTCAGGCCTCCATTCGTAGCTTTCAGTCATGTGAACTGCACGGATGCTTGGTAGGCAAAGAGAGCTTAGGAAAGTAGCAGCAACCACAGAACACTGTGGAGCTGCAGCACAAGCTTGTTTAATTTTTCTATCTTTTCAAAAGAACGCATGTTTAAATCAGTGACAGCCACAGAAACACATAGATTTTAAGATAAACTGCCAGTTTTGGGCACTTGAGAGTTATTTGTATAAGGTTTTAGTTCCTGACAGAATGGTATGGTGGACCTATGTCTCGAAGGTGCCTACTGAGGGGTACTCCGAATGTATCATGGATCATCTGTGATCTGTTGCACCACATAAAGCTGCAATGAAGTGTTCATCAGTGCAGTGGTGCTATGTGAAAGATTGAACATATAATGCTTCGAAACATAAATGACCTTCCTAGTCCAACTATCACAATATATTATATCTCTATTTTATATTTGGCTTCAACGCCCACTGGCAAGGCCTCAGGACTGTACTCTTACCTTTGACCCATTTGCTTCAGTAAACACTTGTGTGTATTTTTACAGCCTCTGCCGGCTTGTATAAACAACATTTGACATGAGCTGTATGTAAGAACCCACAGGCTTTTGTTTGTGTTTTCCCTTGCCCGTTTGGCAATGACGTTCTGGCTGAGATATACTGTTCTCATATGAAAGGTGTTGTAAAAGAGACTGGTAAAACAAGGGTGGAGGGTAACATTTGTTATGAATTGACGCTATACAAAGATTGATTGGGGATGAACACCATTGATTTTATGGTTTAGGATGTATTCACCTCTAACTATCCTTGCTCAAAGATATACACAGCACAGCTTGGTAATACACAAGAAGAGGTTGTTTAAGGAAACCTTGAACTCACTTTGAGGTCATCACTTCTGCCTAATGCTTGGTGTAGCCAATAGCAAGGTAAAGCAAGTATTTCTATATTTTGATTGGTTCCTTTAGCGCAACAGATGCTATTCTGTAAAACCTGGTAGTAGAGAGCACCGCCTTCTTCTTTGTTAGCGTTAATGTAATGTGACATATCCAGGGTGCCCATAGCCTGCTAATCAGCACTAATCTGATCCATTGGATTAGAGAATGGGAATGCATGTAAGTCGCTGCTTCCAGAATGTGTGCCTCCCTCCTTCCAGAAGTGAGCCATCTTCTGGTCTTTCTAGCATACTTTGGCCGGCTCAATTAGGAATGCACAAGAAGACTTTGGACTTTTTTATCTTTCCTGATGCACATTCCCTCACCTGAGATCCATTCTTTTGGGAATTTTTGTTTTGGTCACAGGAAATTCTTTGGTCTTCAGTAAATCCTCGCAGTGATTAGGCACTTCTTCCAACTGGATCTGAGATCTGGTTGTGTTCTTGCTGTCATCATCATATTCTTCGTCATTCCTTCTGTAGGATTATCATGGATATGAATCGGGACGCCCTGTGACTGTCCACTGCTCTCTGCAGCCCTTTTTCATTATATAACTTTTTTTTGGCTTGAAATTGGTTAAATACCAGAAGCCAAAATGCTGAACCAAAGCGCTGTTATGATTTTCACTGGGATATGCGGGGCATTGGTGGTCATGGCAATGGCCTACTATGTCTACTGGTAAGTTAAAGGGAGGAGATATGGTTAAGCTAGCATGGGCCAGACAAGATTTATTCAGATTTGTGAAAGACATAGAAGTCAACAAGTGACAAAAACATGTTTGAAAGACAGATAAACAGAAAAGTATTAGACTCAAAATAACTAGACAAAGGTGTGTTACATGCCAAGATGTGGCTGAGATGTGCCGAATTCCGGAAAGTAATTAACTTGTGTATCTTTGTGAGTACTTCTGATATCAGAGACTCCTTGCAAGAAGTGGTTAAATGATCTGTTAATTTGTCAATTTATTATGTTCAGAAAATAAAGAATAGTTTAGTAGAAGTTCAGGTATTCTGGATGAAGAAAAATAATTGAGTATGACTACATCTAGTTCAGGTAATGAAGAGCAGAAGCAGCTCTCTGGTCTTAAGCAGCTTTAACCCAGTCAGCGTCTAATCTTTTGTGTGTCAGGTGGTCTCTTTTAACCACATGGAGGTGGACCTCTAATGGCTGTTTGCATTGTCCCACCCAATTTCATCTCTCTTAGCTACTTTTATTTTGATGTGCTTGTATGAGACTTAACGAAAGAACACATGAAGTCTGGTCAAACCACTTAACTGGGGGAAAAAATGTTTGTTAGGTTGACTAATGAATGTGTTGAGGTCAATGTCTGTAACTTTTCAAATCATTTCCTCATCCACTTTCTCGATGAAGGCCACAACTTAATGGCATTATGTGACATTAATAACTTTAATTCTATCAGCGGCTTTAAAACCACACCATAAAACTGTTGAAAGGTAATTAACTCTGCAACCACAGATTTTCAATAGAAATATTGTGTGGTCGGTTAACTTAGAATTCCTTTTTGAATAACATCTTATCTTATTGCCTTTTTATGTATGTTTTTATTCGTTAATTCTATTTTTTTTTTTATTGACGCTTATCTCAGCTTTTGCTATAATTTTGCCTTTACTGCTGTAATTCTACAAAGCCAAATGTGGTACTCATAGAGGGTTATCTTATCTTGTCTTATTACTTGGCCTATATAAATA